TGATTTTGGTTAGCAGCACTGTCACTCGGAGCTTAACAAATGTAGGCATTGCTGTCTGGAGAGGTGGAGTTGTTACTGCTGTGTGATGAGCAAAGTTTGTGTGAGATGCTGGCACTTTGTCAAGGACAAGCAAAAGCCTCCAAGGGAGAATTTGGAGCGAGCTCTGCTGAATGAGGGGGAATCTGGGCAGAAATAGGAAGGAACGGGTGGCTGGGGCCTCAGCCTGAAGGGAGGCATTGAAGGAGAGAGTGCTGTGGCATTTGTCACCCCCGTGTTAAAGCTGAGCAATCCTTAGCCATGTACCTGAGACCTGTTCAGTTCGTATTGGTACGACAGCTTTGTGCCACTCAAACAAATCAAATACATTTGTCCAAAAATTCTCCAACACTTTTTTACCCTGCTCTAGGAGTAGCTGGTTCTTTCAATGAAGTTGGTCTTTGCTGTTACGCTTTTCTCAGGTAAATATCCTGCTTCTCCTGAACCTGCCTGAAAGTTTCCAGGTTCTGAATCAACAGAAAACATTAACAACTGTTCTTAATTCACTGCTTAGCAAGCATGAAGTGCAGATGCTCATCTTGCAGATGAGTTTGTGGAGCCTGAGAACAAGCAAGTTCTGATGGCAGTAGTGAAAGAAGCTGGTTTTTAGTTGGTACTCTTGCAAATGTATGCAGGCCATTGTGCTGCATCTGATGCATGAATCGGCTCAGTCTGGGGTGCTGATTGTGCTTCCTGAGCTGGGTTGGCTTTTTGTGTAGAAGCTACATTCTGGGAAGCAGATGAAAGCCACTGAGCTATTGAACTGTACTGGTCTGGGGTGATATATGTGCTCTTCAGGTCAATAAAGAACTTGTGGAGTCGATACAGCCCTCTGAATTTGGTGTAAAGCACATTTTGTAGACTGAAAGACTCCTGGTGTTATCTGACCTCGCCGAGTGGTTGAGAGCTCTGGTGGTGGTCCTTGGGCTGAGACTGAGCTGATTCAACAGGCTGATGTCCTGTTAACGCTTGATCTTACTTTGCCTTTTTGAGATAAGCCAATAAGCAAGGTTAGATAGCCAACTTTTAACACAAGAGCTTTAATAAAACACACTTTTATAAATATACTTTGAAGAATATGTATTCCATTGGTAAACCCCAGCCAGCTTTCCCTGTGGCAGGAAGACTCGAGTTGCCCAGCCTGCGTCTCACTTTGAAACACTGAGAGCTGGGGGGGCACAGTGCCTGCTGTGTTTGTGTGCCTTGGCTCAATGGAAGGAATTGGTTCTTAAGACCTTGCTGAGGGCACAAGCAGGGTGATGTGCAGCCCATGGCCCTGGTAGCCTGCAGGGCAGAGTGTAACTCGGGGGGATAAGCTGCTGTTCTTTTGTGCTAGCCAACTTCTAATTTTTTGGCTGAAAACACTGGTAAAAGTGAGAAACACCTGTAGTTGATGTGCTGTACCTCCGTGCTGTTTTCCAGCATAAGGAAGAAGAAGTAAACACTTCACATCTGTTGCTTTTATTTGCTCTGTGTGCGTTCCGTGCACCCCGTGCAGCAGGCCTGGCTGCCTGTCTGGCATTGCCCCTTGGTGGAGGAGCTCGAGGAGAGACTGGGGGATCGTTTGTAACCGCCAGCGACGGCTGAAAACACAGGAAGCTTAGACTGTGCTCACTGTGCCTTGGGTTAATTTGCTGAAGTTCAGGAAGAGCGTGATAAACTCTTTAATGTCTAAGCTAGCTGAAGAGGTGAACTGGAAAAGTTTGGAGAGCTTTTCAATCTAAGAGCTCTGCATACTTGACTTTTGGCAGGGCTAACCGGTGCAGTGTCTGTGTAGGCATCAAGTTGTTTGAATTGTGCATCTAATGAAGCACTCCATTAATTATATTCCTCTGGGGAAAACCTTGAGCTTAGGAAACATCAGGTAGAAATTTTGGTATATGTCTGAGGTGCTTATTTGGGCTTACTTTTTCCTTGGGGAGAAGTTAGGAAAGTAATTAACTTCCTAAGTGGGAAGAGCATTTCGGTGTCTGGCGCAGCAAGGCAGAGAAATCAGATGTCCTCGCTGGAGGCCTTGCAACTCTTCTCACCTGTTAGTGATGGGTGTAAGAAGGCTTCCTGGCCCTGGGGCGCCTCTGAGGTTTGATGAGATTCAGTCTAATGCAGGGACTGAGCCTTTGCCCCACGCGTCCTGGATATTGAAGAAGAATTGGATCCTCTTCCTGACCTGTGCTGGATCTGTACACAATTTCACTCTGAAGAGATGTTAATCTTGATGTTTAATGGCATCTTCTGCCCTGCCTTTCTCCTCTCAAACAGTTCAGTGTGTGCTGCGAGTTCCTTTCCTAAAAGCAGATGGCACAATCTCTGCAGAGCAGTGCAACCTCATCTCATTCTAAGCCTTAGCATCGTTTGCACTGATCCATGAATACCCATCTTGGTTCCCTAATGGGCATCAAGTGGAAAAGATAATATATTTCTATTGCACTTGAACTCAGTTCTCAGTTAGTTCTTTAGGACCAGTTCTGGGATCTGGAAGAGAAGACACTGCTCATCTTAAAGGATTTGGGAAGAATCTGACCTTTCTGCTCCCCTCCACCGTGCCTTGAGTCACAGGGCAGGCAGAGAAGAGGAAGTGCTGGAAGAGTTGCTCAGTGGATTTGGCTGTTCAAGACATGCTGAGCTCTGGAGGTTGCTGAAGATAATTGCAGAAAATGGAGTGGAATTCCTTATACTTTCTTGGTAGTTGGAGTATAAAGGAGACCTAGGTTCTTCCAGCAACTAACAACACTTCTTATGCTCTTCAGTAGTTGAGCCCCAAATCTCCTCTAATGAAATTCTTTCTTCAGTGCTCAAGTCCCAGCTGTTAGGTGCTCAGTGATCTTCTGTCAATTCTTGATATGGTTTGAGGTGCTGTTTTGCCAATTGGTTCTGGTGCATTCTGATTTGCTGGGAACACCTGTTCCTTAATTATCATCATCCTTCCTCTGTCTGTTCTGTTTCAGCTCCTTCTGATGTGTGAGCTAATAACACGATCTGAAAGGAGGCTCGGAGCACTGTGTGCATGTTGAGAGGTGGAGTTTGAGGCAAATTCATCACAAACTTCAGAGTAATTTCTGGTAATAGTGTATGTCTACTTTGGTTTGCTCTCGGTCCTTAAGCTGCATCTCTTTAGGCTAAAGTTTGTCCTTGTGTACTACCTGAGACCAGCTGTGGCAGTTTGTAGGAGAGGATGGAAGGAATGGGGAGTTTGAGTTCCTGCTTAGAAAAGAAAGGAACAGGAGGAGGAAACAGCATGGAAGGCTTGTAACTGACTGAAGTGCTTTTGAAAGTGTCGCAGTCATTAAGGTTGTTCTAGTTCCTAGTCTTGTCAGGCATGCCTATAATGCTGTACTGTGTGTGATTTCAGCACTTGCTCCTTGGAGCCTGAATTGTTTCACTAATCAGAATTCTGTATATGCTTTGTCTCTGTTTTTCTGCTTGCAAAAAAAAAAAAAAGCCAAAACCAAGTGTCAGTGATGGCCCCGGGTCAGAATGTCCTGACCGAGCAGTGAGTGAGACCCGAGGGTTCTTTCCTCTGGTCCCCTTCCTGGATTGACTTGAGTCATCTGAGAATACTTGTGATGTGAGGAGTTTCCAATTTGCCTTGCAGATGTTCTCAGACAGTCTCAAGAGAAGTTTCTTGGGGTCGTACTGGTCTTAAAATAGCCTGGTTTCTGTTCTGCTGCTGACTCTGTCGGGGTCGACAGAGACCTGGGGGCTCTGCAGCCTGCCCTTTTGAGTCTGAGCTCGTCCCTTCTGGTGACACCTTTTGTTGGGAACTGCTTTAAGAAGTCATGAAAAAGAATCACGTGTAAATATTAAAGTTGAGCATTTGTCTTTAGAATCCCTTCCAAATTCTGATCAAAACTGCACAGCTGTGCACTGTGTCCTTCTAGATACTGCTTACGTACTGCTTTTGGACCTGCTGGTGTATTGCTCGCTCACAGCTGTGGCAGCTGATAGTCCAATCCATGGGTTGCAGGTAGGGATCTCTTCTGCAGCACCCATCTTGTCTCTTGTCTACACGTAGCTTCTCCCAGCGCACGTTCAGACCTCAGTCAAGGTCTGTCATTTTCCTGCAGGAGAGCTTTTTCTCACCCTGGATGAGGTGGGGCTCTGGATGCTGCACAGGGTGTTGCTCCTCCAGGTGTGGGCTGACAGCGTGAACGTGTTGTGTGCTGCAGGAGAGTGCTAAACAAAACTTGTGCAGGATATCACAGTCTTAATGTTTCCAGTTCTGATGGATGTACTTTACAACCCTGCAGAAAGAGGTGCAGCAGATGGGCGCTGTGCTGCTCCCCAGTTAAGCTTGCTGAGACTCACTGAACTCTCAGCAGACATCCAAGGGCAGTGAAGAGACTCCTCATCAGTATGCTGAATATCATTGGATGAAGTTCTTATGACTATCTGTTTTTTTTTCCTCTTAGCTTTACACAGGCTTTCAGCATCCAAGTCAACAGCTTAACTGTTAAGCTAAAAGCTTCCTGCTGTAAAACATGCAACAATGTAGGGAAAACCTTTTTATTCCATTGTTGTTCAGCCTCAGACACCTCAAAGCTAACTGTCTATGTTAATGCAAGCAGACTGGTCACAGCTATTGCTATCCAGACCTAAACTGAGCCTGTACCTGGACAAAGAGGCCACTATTTAATATTTAATGTTCCGTAAAACTGCATTGAGAGCTTGTACTGAAATGTGTCAGTAAAGACATGCTGTAGCAGTGATAGCAGGCAGCTGAGAGCCAAGAGAATCCTATGCTCTGCTTCTGCCTGAGGCATGTTCTCTGATACCAAGCAGTTTGCTTGACCCCTTGTATTGCAGCCAACCTAGCTGTAAAATTAAGCAACAAAGAAAGCTCTGTGACAGACGGACGTGTGTCTGGAGGTGAACTTTCAAGGCAAGTTTCGCTTTACTGATAAATTCATCTTACTAATAAAATTTTTGTTTTTTTAACCAGTACATATTTTCTGTTGTCCTTCCAGGCAGCATTCACTCTTCTCTTGGGTCCTTTTACCTTCTTCAATGTGCAGAAGACCAAGTATCTTCAGATCGTGACGTCTCTGATGAGATGGATAGGTGAGTCTTGGCAGGCCCCCACCTCTTCACTGTAGGTGGAACCTGAGTCATGCTACTGATGCAGCTTTTTGGCAAGATACGCCTGTTTGGAAGCAAGTGCTTGTCAAAACAAAGTCTTTGAGGAAGACTGCTCAGACTTGATATCCACAGTGAAACAAAGGAATTTTGTTCTAGGATGAAAATTCTGATTGAAACAAAATATTCTCAATCAGATGCAATCTGGTACATGAAGTTTTAACTTGGTTTAAGTGAGAGGTAGAGGGGATTTGGAAGAGTCTCCTGTGTCTGTGCTTAGTATGGTCACTACTAGTTACAGTTCCAGCAATGAAGCATGCAACAGATTTTAAACAACCATAGTTCTGATCTGAGAATTAAAAGTACTTCTGTAAGAATTTCTGACCTTTCATCATGTTTGCTTGTCTAAAAACTGCTAAACTGACATACGTTGTCCTTGGGAAGCCCCACTCTCACTAGTTCTCCAAAATCTTACAGCCAAGCACTTCTGAGTAGGCAGAATTCTCTGAAGGGAAATAAGACATCAGTGTTGGCAGTGTTGTTACCATCCAGAGATCCGGATGCTTTATATCTGGTTTGTATGTGTACATGGCTTTGTCTTGGTTTGCATAACCTACACAGGGTAACTGATATTCAGGGCTAACAGCTTTAAGCACCAGTAGCCTTTTGGGAGGGCAAAAGTCTGCTGATTCAGGGGCCCAGACCAGCTGAGCACACGATGTTCTGCTTATACCCATCACTGACCTGGCTTAGGAAGAAAAAAAAGTTGATTCTAAGACTGTTTCCCACCACACACACATTTGACCTCACTTCAGCTCGGGGATCATATTCCTCTTCCATGAGTTCAAAGGCCTGTAATCCTGTTTGGAAATGGCTGGCAGTCACTGCAGCGGCATAGAGAGCCTGTTCCAGTGCAAATCTGAGATGGGGTTAAGCAGTCATCACCCGGGAAGATGAGGTTGGGTCTTAGGCCCTCAAGTCTCAGATGCTGAACAGCTTGAGTTAACAAATGCTGACCTCACATGGTGTGAAAATCCCAAATGTCCATTTTTTTTTTCCCATTATTGTCTGGGCACGTGAAAGGTTTGAAAGCCCCTGTGTCCTTCAGAGGGAGGGGTTATCTCATTAAGGGAGTATTAAAGGAAGTTTTTCAAAAAGTGTAATCTCTTCAGCACGCTGGCCTGTTTCCAATCGCTCAGCTGCCTCTTTCCCGGTACAGCCATCAGTCAGACCTCATCCTGTGTCTGTGACAACCTGATGCCTGTCTGCTCTGCCACTGCATTCCCTTTAGCTAGCTGCCTCCAGTAGGAGGATTGCTAAACCTTGGCATAAATGCAGAGCTGCCTCTTTTCTATTGCTTGATGGAGAGGGACAAAAGCAATGTTTGGAGAAGCGCAGGAGAAATTCATGCTTTAGCCTGATTGATTCCTGCGTCAGTATGCTGGAGAACAGCTGCCCCAGATAATGATATTTAATGACCCTGACAGCACCTCAGTGGCTACTTAGAGCAACGGATTCCGTATGTGTACAATGAGGGATAGATTTATTAGGAAAGACGATTTATCAAGCAGTCATGTGATGCAGGGAACAGAAAAGCTCTTGTTGCAGACTCTGGGATGAGTCCCATGCTGTTTAGATTTATCAGGCTGGCTTCTCCTGTGTCCTCACATCACCTGCTGCATCACCTCCTCCTCCAAAAGCTGGGCTGAGACTTAAACATGGATTGGTCTTTTGTCGGCTCTTAGTGAGCTTAGATCCTAAAGAAAGGCATTGTCTGGTGCTTTGTGGTCTCTTGAGTTCGTCCTGCCTGAATGCTGATGGGCCAGATGTAGATTCCTGTTCAGGCATAACCCGTGCCTTCTCTTTGACTTCCTCTGGTTGTGTTTAGCCACGCGATGCTAAAGGCACTGGTTCAGTGAAGCACTGAGCAGTAGTGCTGGATGCTGGAGCTGCAGACTGGCTGTTTGTTTTGCTGGGTAAAAGCTGCTCTATGGACAGTGCCTGCTGTACACCCTTTTCCCCAGCCCAGTGAAAAGCCCTTGGATTTCACAGCAGCAGCGGCTGATGTGAGGCTGCAGTGCCTCAGGTGTACTGGCAATGAGGATGACAGTGGCTGAGAGGATAGTTCTTGGCAGCAGGGAGGGCTTGCTGTGCGTGAAGGTCATTTCTGCTAGCGTTTGTAACGGTGTCAGCGCTGCCTTTGAAAGTTGCTTTCCCTCTCTCCCCTGATCTCAGTGATAATCAAATGTCACCAGCCTCTTTCCAGAGCCTTGTGCTCATCGCAGGCAGCACATCAGCTAACAGCCTGCAGCAGTCTCTCGCTACATCTCTTGGACAGGAAAAATTTCACTCTGAAAAAATTTGTTCTTAAGCACTGGAGCCTGAGCTGGAAAGCAACAATAGGCCAGTCTGAGGAATGTGGAGGTGCAGCAGGGATCAGCCCTATATCTGGCAGTTTCTCATCCCAGGATAAGGCATTAGCCAAGGTAGGCACCTCTGAAGCCTCTATAAGGAGGAGCTTGCAAGCCCAAGTGCTCTACCACTAGAGAGCCAAACAGATGGGCTCCTGTTGTTTGGGCCTGTTGAACGCAGCTCATCTGGAAACAAGGCTGGCACAGCAAGGTTTTTCCTGTCAGAACTGATAGGAGCACAGAGGGTGGATCTGCTTCCCCAGCTGGACCAGGGCAGGCAGAGGGCTTCCAGAGGCGTGGAGCTGCTGGTGATCTTCAGAAGAGTAACAGCTCAAACGCTGGCTCCAAAACCAACTACTGCCTCATGTAAGGTAGTTGAGTTTAGTGTGGTACTTAGAGCTTTAACTGCTGACCTTATTGGTTCTTAAAGGTCTTGCTTTTCTTTGGACTTGGCCAATGTGTATTTGTTTGCCTATGCCAAGCTCTCGTCACGTTCCCAACAGTAAAAGCTTTTGCTGGCCCTTTCCTTCTGCCTGAGCTGCCTTCGGGGAGACCTCAGCAATAGGATCACAGGTGTAGAAGGAACCAGCCTGCTCTGCATGAAGGGCCGGTCAGGAAAATCACTGCTTTAAATGGTGCTTGGTAATGATGCTTAAGGTGAAGCTTGGGTCTTAGGGACAAAACTTTGTTGGCTCACTCCGTTCTTGAGCAGTGTCACCAAGAGCACACAGAGGGCCAGGGCTGGTGAGCAGGTAAGTGTGTCAGCAGCGTGAATTGTCTCCTTGCAATGGGGAAGATTCCTTCCCCAAACTGTAACTTCCTCCTTCCTCCTTTTCAGGTCCCTTCCACCTTTCAACCTTGGGAAAGTGTGGAGTTGTTAGCCAAGCCCTTTGTTGGCTGTGGAGCCCGTTCCCAGGTCTCTTGGTACAGCGGTCATCTGCAGAAGGCTGACCTAACCAAGCTGCCAGCAAATTACAGCCGTTGGTATTTTCAACTTTACTGGTTAGAATTCAGGCTTTTTTCCTTCCTGAGGGCTTAAATCTGTGGTGGTGATGAACTGCTCCCTCCAGAGACTTGATATCCTGCTATTTTTTCCCTCTGGCTTCCCATCAGTCCTGTTTTGTAGGCAGTGTTTGCTGTTTGCTTCAGGAGTTTGCCCCTCAGTGAATGGAGCTGGCAGTAGTGAGCTCCGCAGGTCTCAAAGCAGCACAGCCCTACCTCTTTGTTATTGGGTAATAACTGCCTCGCAGCATCAAAGGGACATGGATTAAGAAAGATACCAAAAGGGGACGTGGCTTGGTGGAGCTTAGCAGCAAACACTGGGCTGCTGTCTATTAAGCAGCTAACCTGATTAATTGCAGCCTGCTACTGGGTGAGATGCCCAGCTCTCTAGGTGGGGACTGATGGCTTCAAAGACATTGGTAGTGTGATTATTGCTGCTGTTGAATGGTCTATGGCAAATGTTCCCAGACTGATCCCACGTGGGACATTTGCTCTATGTGCTGCTCTTGATGCTGTACTGTAGATATTAAAAAGTATTGTATTTTAATAAAGAGACATTTTATAGGGGATTAAACTGGGGTTTGGTTGCTGTGGGCTCAGTGCTGTCTCCCTGTAGTACAGTTGGACCTGGTCGCATTCGTTCTAGGACCTGCAGCCCTCAAGACAGATCATTCTCATCGTTGTCCAAGCAAAAGTCTCAGTTTTGTCCAGAAATTAAATTTCTTTCCCAGGCTTTTTTTTTCTGGCTGGTAAGGTGGAGGGAAAAAGTACAAGAATAGCCATGAGGCATGCAGGAGGTGTTTTCTTCCCTCCCCTGCAGGGTAATTGATAGAAGTCTCCAAGGGAGGAAACTAGGAAAGAGCTCTCCCAAGGCATTCTGGTGAGGCTGCCTTCCCTGTCTGATCATTTCTTTGATGCTTCTACTTTCTTCACCAGAATCCTGTGCTTTAGAGGACTCCTCAGCACTTCTCTGCAGAGCACTGGTCTCAGACCATTACGCTTTGTGAGCAGTTCTCAGCTGTGCTGTCACTGCCATCCTTAGCAGACTTAACTAGCCATGCACAAGTTGATTCAGTACAGAAACCTGGAGTCACTCTGCTGTGTGCCTTCAGCTGCAGCACTGGAGACTGGGGATTATTGCAGAGGCTGATGTAGGATGGGGGGTGGCAGTTACCTGAAGTCTTGCTTGCAGTCTCCTGCAGGGAGATTATCCTGCCAGTGTCCGCAGCCTTCAGGGTGGCCTCTGTATCCAAAATGGAGCTTTCTGCTGCAGCTGCGTGGGGGGCCCATTAAATGTCTGCCCCTTTTGCAGAATGAAGCATACAGGACTGTCAAGGAAGAGGAAATTGAGCTGTAAATCAGGCCACTGTTGCACGTACAGCTGGCTTAGGGGTTGTGACATGAAGTAACTCTGAAGAAACTTGTTCTCATATCCTTTTTGGAACAGAGAAAGCTGCTGCCAGAGCCCAGGGTAAATAATTTACTAAGAAGTGAATATATTTATGAAGAGTTAGTTAAAAGGCAGTGCTTCTGTCATGCTTGCTCTTGGTCTTGTCAGTTGAGGAGCTCATT